GTGTATAATTTACTTAGTTTTCTTGATTGAAGTTCTGAAATTAAAGTTTAGGTACGGATTTTGTAGAGAATTTCACGACGCTTCTATTAAAAAAAGAACTTATTCTAGGGGACCTAAGGAACAGGAGTTAAAGCAAAAATACCGAGGCCGGGTTCACGGTTGATTTTTCTTTTTTGTGAAGCACATTTCTAAGCCTATAACTTTCTTACTAGATGAGTTAACGGGGTCAATCGATAGTCATCTTGTAGAGCGTTTTTTACTGCATCTTTTCTTCATAGAGACAAATTTACTATCACTTGTTTCACTATAGAAAAATTTATTATTCAAATCGGGTCAGGACTTCTGGGCCACCCTTTAATCATAAAGATCGTTTATACAATGATTTTAATTATATTAAGTCAAAATATGTTGAATAGAAAGACAAATATGGTGGAATTAATAAACAAATACAAAGCTTTTATTCTGTGAAATTTATTAACATCAAAACAAGTAAAAGCAACAGTGCATGATGAGAATAATTCGCATAACGAATGCGACAGGCAAGATAAATCTGATATCCATCAGGTCCCTTAATCACCCATAAGCCACCGATAAATCACGTAGTTACATTTAAGACGTCGAAACGCACCGATACTCTTTGCGAGACGTCGAGTCCTAGTGCTAGTCAAGATATCTCTAGCAAAAGGAACAGAGAAAAAAGTACCCTATCGGCGTTGTATCAAAACTGTTAAAACAGTTATCATATGATGAAATCTTAGAAACTTAATGAAATAATCCCCTAGTGGAAAACTTACTTGAATCTTACTAAGATCTTAATAAGATTATTCAAAGATCTTACTAAGATTATACTCTCTAAGATTTTTTCGAGATTGGATAAAAATCTGTTAGGATCTTAATAGTAAGAACGATGATGTTTTAATAATATTCATTTGACGTTCGCTGAAAATTTTTCAGATTTTAACCCGCATTTATTCAAAGCAGTAGTTGAACAGTGTTGAAGAATGAAGAGAAATTTCATGTTTTCAGGTGTTCAACTATAGACCTTAACCTACATGTACACTCTCTAAAAAAAAGTTGTTGAACATTTTTGAGAGAGCAAATACTAGCAGAGTCTGGAAGAAAAATAACCGCAAAATCAGTCATATTTTGAATAATTAACCCAAAGAGACTTTTTAAGAGAAAACGAACCATACAAAATAAACATCGTGTACATAAATGAGAATGTCCTGTTTCAATTTGTCTGTGACTACGCAAAGAAACATTTCTGCAACTTTCTGCTAATTATATAGACGCACTACAAACAGAAGAATATTTAATCTACGAGAAATACAACTCTGTTCCACCAAATCTTCAACAAAACTTAGCTATTCATTGTAACTTCAATAACGAAATAAATTGCCGCCACGCATTTGCAAGTTCAATAGAACGTGGTAGTAATGATCTCTGGGATCGTGAACAATCAAACTCTGGCGTAAAAGTTGAGCCACACACGCTCTTCGGTCACATTTTAACGTTGGGAAATAAAATCGATTTATCACCAGAAGACAGCGGTCAATACAGTTAATGTGGTGCAAGGATTGTTATCGAACAGAATTGAAAGAGACTGGAATAAGGTGAGCTTGAGATGCAACTACTTAGTTTTGGAATTTCTCAGTATCGTAAAAAAGGCATCTCTTTTTCCCATATACTTTTCTTGTTTTTCGTTGTAGGATGATGAGAATTATGTGAATCAAATGAACGAGCAGAAATTATAATCCATAAACTTTTGAGTAGAGTATTTTTTGTTTGTAAAATGAAACCTTCATGTTCTTCTTGTTTTATCCCGCGAATAAATGAACTAAAAACGAAGATATAAAGATTTTGCGTTAGACTATGCATAGAACGTGCAGAAATGCCTATTCAGATATTGTATTTGTCAAATTCAAGCGTCTTACAGTGATTTATCTGAGCAGCATCGCCAGTCCGGTTAAAACCTTTTCAGAGCGAGCAATTTTTGATGAACAAGCGTGCATTTAGTTTTAAACCGTTTTACTTGACCCAAGGTATCGTTTTTCATAGGTTTTTTGCATATGCTCTTTCGTATGAGATCGAAAAGACGGCTAAAAGCGGGGTTTGCAGGGTTTTTATACAGATTGTGTCTTTCGAAACCCTGGAAAAATGGTTTTCAAAGGTTTAAAATACGTCTTTGTCTAAATTTTTTTTCATGCGCCTGAAGCACTTAAGCATCGCGAGCTAGAAAATCATGTGATATAGACACATCTTCAGGTAATACTTCAGGCCTTTTGGCGAGCTTAAGCGCTTCAGCCTCTTGTTTCATTGCTTATTATCCATGGTCATGCGCTTGAATTTTATTCAGGCGTTTGCGTTTCTTGCTCAAGCGCGTGCACTATACTTGAATATTGCAGAAATGTTATTTTTCCCTTATGTTTCAAAACATTACAAGCTTTGCGTACTAATATCAGCATTCCGTCCCATCAAAAAGTAGTGATAATAATACTCCACTGGATCCTACCACCTGTCATAACGACGAAAATGATATCTGTGATGGTGCATGCAGTTAGTTTTGATTAAAAGTTACACGTAGTGTTCGATTTTTTCTTCAGCTTCCAGCAACTTTAGAGTGCTCAGTTTCCAGACTTCGGAATTCTGTAGACTTCATGTATCTATTCACGTTATTAGTTGTTATCGGAATGCGTAATAAATATTTTATAGAATCCTATGGCATGTTAGTAATGCCATTCAATTATTTAAGGCCCCCCCCCTCTCAGAGATGGTGATTTTGAGATAAGAACATGGAAAGATACCCTGAAGTGTCTACTTCCAAAATCTGTATTGCTTTTGGTTACAAAACTGTTTTTTCGGAGATTTTGCGCAAGTTTTCTAAGAGCCTCAAAAACCGGGTCTTCAAATAACAGTCTTTCCCTGGATACTTATGCAATTAAAATTTAACTGAACACACAGATTTGTAGAACAAACGTTCCGATGAAAATAAGACTTCGCACAACTCTATATGACTTTGCATCAAAAAGTTACAGGCATTTTCCTAGAAGTCCTAAAACTGAGCATTTTATACAGCGTTTTCTCTACATGGAAGTTATACCTGAAGTGTGTCCCAAGATTTTTAATAGCGGTTTGTCGCAGAGAGTTCATTCTTTTTTTGTTTAAAAGAGGAAAAGAAACTACATCGACTGACAAGCGCCGATTTTTGAATTAGGTCCTAGTTTTTTGTCAAATAGAGGATTTTTAGAAGATCTGGAAGGCTTTTTCGGGTTTTGAAGGTTGTTGGTTGCCTGGAAAACCAATAAAGGCTTAATTATAAAATCGGCTCCTGTTAGTCCATGTTGTTAGGTGTCTAGTTTAAAGTAAAACAAACCCGAACTCTCCAGTTTAAAGTATATTAAAAAATCTTGGGACACACTTCAGGGTCCTTTTTGAACCTTGATCTTCGGAAAACTCCTGAACGGTAAGACTTGGAGACAAAAAAACTTTTTGATTCCCATAACTCATTGTGCCTAACATTTATGGAAAGTTTCGTGGACTATGGATAAAAAATGATATTTCAGGCTTTTCTACGCTCGATGCACTATTTAATTCGGAGAATGCTATAAAATGCTGGACTCAACTCGGTATGCATTCTACAAGCCCTCTCAACTTTGTGTTCGAAATTATTCAATCCTTAATAAAAAAATCATGGTTTAAATAACAAACACTTTAAAAAAATAACAAAAAGGAATCTATATACGTAACTATTATATTCAGAAATTCTACAAGGCAAGAAGTATTAATTCATCTTGGGCAGAAAAACTGTGATTATTTTATTATGACTGATCATTTCAAATATGCTTATTCTTGTAGGTTTCATGAGTCCTACGTATGAATTGCTTTACGCATGCACATAACTTATACAAGCGCTTGTCTGTGGAAAGAAAGTCATGTGATATAGACACATCTTGAGGTCTGAGCATGTGAAGTACATAAAAAAAAGAATTTGACTATGGTTCCTATTAAGTTTCATAGTTATGGCGTCAATATTTTCTGTAACGTAATTTGCAAAACGTTTTCGACATTATTTTCATAATAAAAAGATGCAGTCAAGTCTTTGCTTTCAATAGTTGAAGACCACAAAAATTTCTGTCACTTTCCTGTCAAATGTTATTCGAAAAACATCCGAGTCCATTCTTTTTTTACAGACAACACTCAGAGACTGTATAGCTCTTGGAAAAAATCAAGTTTCTCAGTCAATATACGACCAAGTGCTCGGAATTTTCTTTTCCATAAACCTCGAAAGTAGTACTATCTAATATATGATTCAGAATTTTTTTATTCGCAAATTGTTTTTTTCCGGGCTTTTTTCGAAACGGTACAATCCCAATGCAATTCTCTCATATATATATATATACGTATAGTATGAGAGGTTTTTCCGTTACGTTCGGTTCTTTTATCAATCCAACAAAGTTATAAATGTTTTATGCCAGCACAAACAATTAAATGAACAAGCAAATCAACATTAAATTGACAAAGTACAACGTTTAACGTATATCGATATTGTCAGAACAAATAACCAGTTATCAATTCAATCTCAATTAGTAAAAGATTAGAAGAAGCACCGAAGTTTAGTGATGCAGAGAAATTACTAATGGCATCATTATATCTATTAGATGATGCTCGTGAATGATATATCAATAACAGAAGTCAGTTGGATTCTTGGAGTAAATTTGTTGGAGAAATTGAGAACACATATTCATCACAATTAACAAAATACTTGACTGCACAACAATTGAGTACTCGTCGACAAGGTTTAAATGAAACGATGGTGCATTATTATAATGATGCTATTCAATTAAACTCCCTCCTCTTAGAGCACAAGGTCAGTGTAGAGCGAAAAGTTTTGAAAAACACTCTATAAGGGTAGGGCAGTTTTTCACCAAAAAAAGTGCGACGCGCGAAACCAGCACATAAGGCCATGGCCTTCTGTTCTGGGAGGGGTTTTATGTGAGACAATGGGTAGTAATACGTCACATGGTTCAAAATTAATTTATTTAATGAAATGTTTAAAATTATTACTATATAAAGGAGTAGCTCGTACTGAATCGAAAACGCCATTGGAATTTATTGATGTAGCTCAAAAAGAAGAGCGTTTAGATCAATTACAAATCTCGAAAAGGATTACTATGTTTATTCTATGCTTCATGGCGGATCGAATGGTGCCAAATTCAAGGTTGCATTTTCTAAGGAAAAAAATGAGATAGATTTACGAGTGAGAGTCAGAAAAATTGACGTCTTTCAACTTTGCGCAGCCCCGAAACACTTCTGTTCGTACTGGAACCTTGAAATATAGTTTTCTGTATGCTGCTGTCGCCGCTGAACAAGAAAAACACGTTCTCATGATTCTGGAGCCAGACCGAAATTTTTGCTGAATTATGTTGTATATAAAGAGAAATTGCGGTACATCTTGATATTCTGAAGTAGTTTAGATCGATTTTCAATGGAACGTGAAAATCAAAGCTCATAAAAATTTGCACTACGACACCAAAATTTTAAAAAATTCCCGAACTTTTTTATGAAGCACCTTTAAAAGGTGGGATGGCTCGCATTTTGAAGACGACAATTGACTCGATTTCGACGACTACCCTCGTTTCAGTGGTAAAGTCGTGTCCTTTCCTAAAGTTTTTTACATTTTGTTTCAGAACTTCACCAGTATTTATTCTTAACTTGTATACGTATAGAAGATAAATCATAAATTCTATTCCTATCACTGGTGTGTGTCTACAGTAAAATCTCATTATATCGTCAAAATTATGAATTCAGAGGAGTTATGTGAGATTTTACATTCAACATCTTGCCCTTAATTACAGGAGCAATTCTATACTGTTCAGTTTTTATTTAAATAGTCTGAAAAGCGAAAATTGAACTTTTATTCTAAAGTAGTGGCATTAGGGTATATTTACGGCATTTATACTCATATTATCTGGCACGGAAACTAATTAGATTTGATGAAAAAGCATATTAACGTGTAGATGAAGTAGAGCACTACACGCGTCAATTCGTTCTTGTATTCTTATTTGATAAGGTAAAAACAATAAAAGTATTTATCTTTTGGTCCAATTGTTTTGCAAAGATTTTGTTAAGTGTTTTGCTAAGGCTAACACAAAATATCCAAATCGCTTGTCCTTGTGAAAAAACCTTAGCTACTATCTTTCATTACGGAAAACAATCGGCGGCTGGTCCACTTAACTCCTGTGGCGAAGATGTCTGTCATAGCTTTACTTTTTTTGCTCAGTTTGTTTCGACTTTAACTCCGAAGCTAAAAGTCGTAGAGAGTTCGGAGACGTTTTAAATTATAGAAAAAACTATTTTATACATTTTAAGATCTGTTCAGGCTCTAGGAAACCTATCTGAAAAAAATGTGGTCAAAATGCTGAGATCCACATCTTTGATTTCGATTCTTAAAAAGCAGTTCTCAGCATTTGGATTACAGTTTTATGA